TGTGTTCTCTTCTTTTCCTTCTTTTTGAGGTATAGTATATCTATGGAAAGGCTCATGAATCTAGAGTGGATCCTTATTGGATGTGTGTGTGTGTGTGTACACCAGTGTAACCCTACCCAGATCAAAGGGGCCATTCTTAAGTTTGCAAGGATCTCACAGGGTAGGAAATGCACCCATTCAGCTTTGAACAGACTGTGAGACACAGTATCTCAAGGTCTGACTGTGGTCCTTGACAATGTAGATGAACAAATGGCTAGTGAGTACCTGCAGTGTGCTAGAACCTTCATTGGGTAAGCTCCATTGCCTCTCACCTGGAAATCCAACATAGGTGGCTTGTGATTTTGGGGAGCTGAGCATCAGTAACACATTTTGTGTCACCTTAATTTATTTTGTGTCTGTTATCTATTATATTATGATATAAATAACTCTTGGCAACTTTTACTTGAGAGRTACCTCTTTCTGCCAATCTGCCTTCCCTTTGTCCTTGATGTTGTATCATTATTATTGTGGGTAAAAAGAAGCATAATATTATGTTACAGCTTATAATGGCGACCTCTGGAGAAGGCAGCCACCCCAGTGGCACAGCGACACCCAGGCCACTGGCACAGCTGCAGGAGCTTGAACCGCGGGTAGCCCGCAGACGCCTGTCCCAGGCCCGCCATAGGGCCACCCTGGCAGGGCTCTTCACCAACCTAAGGAAGACTGTTTACTCCCAGTCTGAGCTCACAGCCTCGAAGGTACGGGGACCTCAGTGTGGGGCCTGGCCCTGCCGCCCTTAGTGCACAAGGCTGAGGGCTKGGCCTCCGTGTGGTTGGTGATCTTCGGTGGATGCCTCTGGGGCTATACCTGCTGTGAGAGATGGGCCTTTTCTACCTGCAGCAGACCAGCCTGGCATAAGTAAAGCAATTATGGGCCTGAGGAGGGGCCTAGTTTGCCAGCCGCTTCTGTGCCTGTCCACTCAACAGGCAGTGGCCTTTAGCACATGCTCAGGCACCCTGTACATCTACCCAAACACACACACCTGCGTGCACACACAACACCACACACATGTGCACATACCATAGACATACACGCATGCATGCATCATACCATTAGCACACACGTACACATGGTCACACGCCACACATGCGCTCACACCCCCAGTTTATATGCATCATCCAGGTCTTTCCCCCAGGCAACAGGGCTCTCCGGGTAAGTATTTATCTTTTCCTGTTCTTAATTCTGCTTTTGTCCTCAAACAGCTTTTTAATTGCTATCTAGCAATCAATAAATCAATTATCTAGCAGAGCATGGAGGTCCAAGTATATTGGGGTGGTGGAAAGAATGGAGTAGTCATAATGGTGGAAGCATTATAGATGGTCAGAGTGGAGGAGTCCCTCTAGAGGTGCAGATCCCCACCCCCTTTTAGTAAAGGAGAAATCCTTTAAGTAAAGGAGTTGAGCAAGGACTTACTAGCTGGTTGACAGTAGGGTCAGAAAGAGTCCTCGTTCCTACTCCAGGCCTGGCCCTCTCCCCACCCTCTACCTCTCTGACTTATCCTGTTGTCCTGTGTCTGTTCCCAACCCTGGGGGGTGGGGTTCCATTCTTGGGCTGAAGCCTTCAGCAAAGCAGCATTCACAAGCTTCATGTTTTCTGTTCATGGCGCTGGCAGAGCTTCTCACTGGGTACAGACATACGAAGAGCTCCTGAGCAGGCACGGGCCAGGGCTTGGTGGAAATTTAAAAAGGTGCCCTGAGCACCTTGGTGCAGATTTTCAGTACGACTCTATCATATAATAATTAGCTGAATCCCAACACAGACCCCACCTGCTCTTGTAGAATGGTATAGGGGCCTGGTGAGGGATAGAGGGAGGACTGTTCTTCCCCTCTCTGCTAAGTTGGGCTCAGGATCCAGTAGGAGGATGGCACATCTGGGCCTTTCTGTCAAGAACCTGACCAGCATAGCTGTGCTTCATGTCCATTGGATGAAGAGATGTTTGCTGTGTGCTTCCAGAGGTGCAAGAAAACCTAAGTTCCTGACATAGGTCCATGGGTATGTGCACATAGGTAGGCAGCAGAACCAAAGAAAAAAATAGACCTTCAGAGCCTCACAGTAAGAAGTCAAGTAAATCCAGAGGAAAACCATATTCTTACCACTAAAATTTGTGCCACATGACTTGGCATGTGAGAGCATGGCTATTAACTGGCCTCAGTGATGGGAGGCAAGTGACTTCTGGCCTTCAGTCAACATGTCCATTAAATAGGGAGGATAGTAATGGCTGCCCCATAGGCCTAGAATAGAGTTTAATGGGATACTCCAACATAGCATGGTTCTTAGAGTCTTAAAATGTTAGAATCATTATTTCCCAATATATTATCTTATTTATCCCCCACAGCTCTATTCCTATCATTCTCATTGTACGGGTCAGGAAACTGAGGCTTCAGAAGATTAAATTACTGGCTTTAAATGATGCAGCCAGGAAAATATCTGGAACTCAGCTGTTCTCTGAATTCTTCTTTCTCTATCCTACTTGAGGGAAGGCCCAGGATTGTGCATGAATAAGGGAGTTGTTGTTTTATGAGACTAATGGTGTAACAAGGTCTCATGAGTCCTTTAGGGCTGCCATAACAAAATATCATAAACTGGGCAGCTTAAAACAACAGAAATTTATTGACTTATGRCTCTCAATGCTGGAAGTCCAAGGTCAAGGTTTCACAGGGCCATGCTCCCTCTGAAGGCTCTAGGGGAGAACCTTTTTACCTCTGCTAGCCTCTGGCACTTGACAGCAGTGCTTGGCTTGCAGGTGCATCATTCTGACCACATGGCCACATTCCCCCAGTAACTTCACACCATCTTCCCTCTCTGTGTGTCTATCTCTTTGTCCACATTTTTCCTGTTTGTAAGGACATGGGTCATACTGAATTGGGGCCCAATCTAAGGACTTCATTTTAACTTGGTTACTCTATAAAGTCTCTGTTTCCAAATAAGGTCACATGCAT